ATTTTCCGATACATTTTCAGAATCTCATAAATTTTAATGGATCTTCTGTAAAATTTGCAAAACTTCAGGGAAGTTCGATGATTTCAAAAAAAAATATTTACACGATTTCAGGAAAACTTGTAGATCTTGAGAGAGACATTTGAAACTTCAAGGAAGCTCAAATATTTTCAGGTAAATTTTGATATATTTAGGTAATTTAGAAGATCTTCAAGGAAATTTTCAGATCTTCAGGATAGCCCGAGAGCCTACAGAGGAATTTACAAAACATCAGATCTACTGAGAAATTTATTGAGCCTCAAGGTTTTTTTTTTGTAGATCTTGGGAATAGAGCAGGAATTTGACAGAAAGTTTCACAGTTTCAGACAAATGTGAGATCTTCAGAAAAATTCGTTAAATGTCCGGAAAGCACCTCAATTTCAAAAACAAATCGCAGCGAAGTACAGAAGTACAAGATTTTGCAAAACTGCATGGAAGTCGGGAATAGATAGATCTAAAGAACTTCAGAGAAGTCCGTAGACCTTAAGAGAAGTCTGTAGAACGTCAGAAAGTTCGTACGTTTTTAGAAAAATTTGCAAAACTTCAGCAAAACACACAGATCTTCGGGAAAGTTCGCCGATCTTTAGATCAAGAATCCACAAAGAAATTTACAGAACTTTATAAAAGTTCGGAGATCTACTGAGAAATTTATTGAACTTCAGGGCAGTTCGTAGATCTTTAGAGCAGAAATACAGTACTTCAGAAAACTTTACAGAATTTGAAACAAATTTTAGGAACTTCAGAAAAGTTCAGATGGTAGATCGTAAATCTACCATAGAGGTACTCTAAGACTAGAAGGTCCCGAAATAACGTGCTCAACTTTTTGACTCAGCTCTGGTACTCTCTTCGGTCCCAAGCTAATCGATTCACCCCTCGAAACATAGGAAAATCCACTAACCCCTCATTTTATCTGTCAAACTTTCATAGCAAATCAAAACAAACATCGTGTAGTACTAGAATTTCGACTAGAATGGGATACGTTAATCGTTTGCTTGGGACCAATAGGCTAGTCAAGTAGTGAGACAATTTAAAATCGTTAGTTTCGTATTGATTGTTGAATCTACTCAAAAATTAGCAGATGTTTAAATAAATTTTCAGAATTTTACTGCAGTTCTTGGATTTTGAGAGACATTTACAGAACTTCAGGTAAGTTCGCTGATCTTTAGAGATATTTGCACAGCTTCAGAAAAATTAGTAAAACTTCAGAAAACTTCCTAAAACTTCCGGAAAGCTCAAAAATTTCTAGATAATCTTTTGATTCTTTAGGAAATTGTGTAGATGTTCAGAGATATTTGCAGACATTCATTGAATCATGAAAATCTATAGAGAAAATTACAGAACTTTCGAGAAGTTCGTAGATTATTAGAAATTTTGTGAACATCAGAGATAATTGTTGATCTTCATCTTCATCATCATCAGCATCAGATAATTGTTGATCTTAAATCTTCAGGGATTCAGGAACTTTGTAGATTTTTAGGAAAATTTACAGAACTTCTGAAGAACACACAGAACTTCAAAGAAATCTGTAGAACTACCGAGAAATTTGCAGATCGTCAGGAAAGATTGTTGATCTTTAAAGAAATTTTACCGGAGAACAGAAACAAAACTTCAGGGACGTCCAAAGGTCTTCAAATAATTATGCAGAATTGAGTTGTCAACAGAAATTGAACAGTTGTTGAGAACTTTTCCTTAAAAGTTGTCCTAGCTCGCTTGTCTAATATCTATATACAATCTTCACACTGCCGTACTCTAACGGAACTATCAACTCTATGCTTTCATCTACTCCATCTATCGTATAAAAATAACCACTACAGTCTGTTATTTGAAATTAGCATCTTCAACTATCTGGATGTTCGAATGTTGATCCCTCCGTTCCCCCAACAATCAATACGAAACTAACGATTTTAAATTGGCTCACCACTTTAGTAGCCTATTGGTCCCAAGCAAACGATTAACGTACCCTATTCTAGTTGAAATTCTATTGCTACCCAATGTTTGTTTTGATTCGCTATGAAAGTTTGACAGATAACATCAGGGGTGTGTGGATTCATGCAGAACATGCAGGGGTGAGTGAAATAGCTTGGGACTGCTTGCACAGAAATTCAAAACAACCCAAAATTAAGTTCTTTTCACTCATCTCCCATGTTGCGTACGATAAGCTAAATTTGGGTAAACCGGCTCAAAGTAGTTTGCATTTAAGCACGGCAAAAAAATTACCCATCGCTAAGTTATTTTCAATTTTTTCTACCCAAAATTAAGTTCAAATAACTCAAATTTGGGTATATCGCATATTACTCAATTTTGGCTTCTCGTACGGAACTAGACGGTTGAGTCGAATCTTTCGTTCTATTTTTGACAACAATAGCGTGAGAAAATGAAACGGGCTGAGGTCAAATAACTCAAATTTGAGTTCAAAAAACTCAAGCGGTGGGTTGTTTTGTTTTTCTGTGTGGGACCGTTGTTCTGGTACTGAGTGAGCCAAAAATAATAATGATTTTCTTCGGGACCCAGTGGTCTTAGAGTTACCTCTATGGTTCCCCTCTCCCAGGAACAGAATAAAATGGAACAACATACGCCCTCCAGTTAGTGTCAAAAAGCACAATGAAGGATACATTTATTCATACAAACAGGCTGCCATTCCCGAGCATGGAAAGCTGGATAGATGTACTTGGGACCAATAGGCTATTCAAGTAATGATCCAATTTAGTTTCATTAGTTTTGTATTGATTGGTGGTGGTAGTTCTGAAGAATATAATCAAGAATATTCCAAGGGAATTTTATAGAGAAAAATTACATTAAGCATTAAGCAAATTCTTGGGAATTATTACCAGTTTGTGGAAATTATGGAATTGTAGAGTGATTTCTACGAGAATCTAGAGAGAATGCGTACTAAGAGTGGCTTTCAGAGAACGCCTAGAATGTTATTGAAAAAGTATGTGATAGTATATAGAATAGGGAATTCAGAAAAGAAGTATGATTAAAAACTAACATGGTTCAAAGGAAACTCTAGAAAAAAGTTGAATATACAGTCAGGAATCCTTATTGCCGGATTCCTTATTGCCGGTATCTCTTATTTCCGGATCCTTATTGCCGGGCTATCCGCGAATAAGGATACGGTATTTGACAGTTTTTCTTGAACCGATGGCCGCCATCTTGGATTCCAAAATGGCATCTGACATCGATTTCCCGTTCCTGTTCTCACATTGCACAGCAACATCTTACATGGACAAGTTTTGGAGTCATAACATATTAAGGAAGTTCATGTGCACACTAGCGCCACGTAGTGTGAGGGTTCTGAAATAATATGACCATCATCCGAAAGGACATAGTGACCTGAACAACTTTTCTCAAGACAGTAACCTTCTATATTGCCAGGTTCTCGAGATACAGCTTATACAGGAAATTTACTTGCACACTAGCGCCGCGTAGTGTGAGAGTTCTGAAATAATATGACGATCATCCGAAAGGACTTAGTCACCTGAACAACTTTGCTGAAAACAGCAACTTTCTATATGGCCAGGCTCTCGAGATACAGTTTATATAGGAATTGCACATGCACACTAGCGCTGCGTAGTGAGAGAGTTCTGAACTAATATGGCCACCATCCGAAAGGACTTGGTCACCTGAACAACTTTGCTGAAGACAGTAACTTTCTATATGGTCAGGATCACGAAATATTCTATGTTTGAAATATGATCCATATATTATAGCGCCCGTCATAAGTAACATAAAAGTGAAGCGCCTCTAGCGGCGTAGTTCCCAATTTAACCTGAATCCAATGGCACAGGCTTGTTGGTCTAACCCAGTACAGCAACTTTGTCGAAGACAGTATAGCTTTATGTATTGAAACAAATTAGATAATCCACTACAGCCCCCATTAGTGAAAATCCCATAAGCTGTGGGTATCCTTATTCGCGGATAGCCCGGCAATAAGGATTCCTGACTGTAGTCTGTGAAGAGTTCCAAAAAAATGCAGACTAACACAAATGTTCATGATCTGGGACATCGTAAAAATATAATTAATATATTCAGTGTGGTCATGTCTACGGATTTATCCGTAGATCTACGGATTTTAGATTTAAAATAATCATAACATTCGATATAGAATAAACGCAGAAAAAACACTCAGGCGTAAATTAACAAAATATTTCGTTATTTTTTTATAATATTTTTTATTATTATTATTATATTTCGTTAAAATGTTTTAAATAAATGCAGCACTCCATTTAAATCAAATTTAAGCAATTCAGTGCCAACATTTCAAAGGGGCGTAAATGTATTTGTAAACAATGGCTTTAGCCGTCGATTTCTCGCGAATAAAAGCTCACTCATGAAAAATAATGACACCAGCAGGTAGATGAATGTTTCCTCTACCAGCTAGCATTATTATTTTGTAGAGGTAAGATTTCATTCGCGAGGAATTTACGGCTAAAGTGATTGTTTACAAAAGCAATTACGCCCCTTTGAAATGTTGGCACTGAATTGTTTGAACTGCAAGTGTCAAACTGTCAGTCTGTGTCGGCATGCATTTCGTGAAGATCTTCACCACATCTTTTCAACTAGAGGAAATGGATGTAATGTCGGCCTAAATGCCCCTAATTTGGGCCCATACATAAATTCAGCAATCGACTAAATTTTCAATAGCGACCAAAAATATCCATTAGTACCGTCCAAAGATTTTGCGACAAGCAATGCATTAGGTATAGGAAAAACGTCACGATAGGGGGAGGGAGTTAAATTTCTCCTCGATTTAGCGTGACATAATTAATGCATGGGCCAAATTTTCAAACTTGAATCTTTCGAAAAGATTTAGAAGGTCAATTCCGAGATAAATTCATACCCTAGTTCATACCTCAATAAATAAATGGAAAAAAATCGATTAAGCTAACAATCGAACCGAAATGAAAATCAGGTCGGGATCGCCCATTACTAGTACAATTTTGTTTGCATAAAAGTAACAAAGCGAGAGCATAAACTTTTAGAATGCCGGACAATTAAATAACATTTAATTTTGCTTTGAGTGATAACTTTGAATTCAGTGTGATTGTTGTTCGGCTGCAAGTGTAAAATGAACCCCACAACCACCGGCTGCAGATTGTGTTTGGATCCCTTCGGAGACAGCTTTACCACGATCGAAAATCCGGAGCTGCAGGACCAGATGAAGAAAGTGTTCCGCTTTGCGGTAAGTGTGTGGAGAAACGGTGAAGCTATTTTCTTGTTGATTGAAAGTTAACAACTGAACTACTGACTGACTGAAAAAAAAATACAAGATCGCTGATTGATAATGGATCAATTTTATCAATGACATTAATTGCAGATGAGTATAGGTGTATGGCTGTTGGTCTAAGAGATGAACCACCGGAGCTGGAAGCCTAGATAATAATAACAAACTAATTAACTAACTTCCTGAAAGACGAATGCTACTTTCTTTTGATGAGCAACGATTGGTAAAAGATCAATCACTAGATTGTGGTCCATTATCTCCGAAGGAAGTTATTAAGGACAATATTTTCATTAATATAATACTAATGGTAATTAGGGTTACCATATCAAAAACTTGAAAAGAAGGACATTTCATTTGAGGTTTGGAGATTAAGGAGGACAATCATTCCTTTTCTTAACATTAAAGGAGGACAATGAGTTTTTATCAAACGATTTAATAATATGTGCGCTAACACAAAATTCATGATTTGCAAAGGTTCAATTGAGATTGTTCATAACTTATAGTTGTTATTGATTCAAGTCATCTTCTCGCTATACTTCTGAAAAATGCATCAAACTAGCCCTCATAATTCATTTTTGATACTTGGAAATAATCTAGTCCAGCTTATTTGCATGAAAACTACAGCTTTACAGCCTTGAAACCATCTGAAATTTTATAATGTACAAAAATCAAGATACACGTCATCGCTGATTGAAACCGAAGTGACTGTTTGTAAAATCAGATACGTCGAATTGAATATTTATGCTTGGAATACCTAAAATCTCATAGAACCAGAACGTCAAAATCGAACATGTTGGAATCAATTTCTTGTTTTTTATTTTTTTTTTATTTAATTTTTCTAATAAACGGAAGTCTGGCACTGGACCATTCCGTTGCCCACGCTGTCCGCGCTGTGCAAGTGATCTATCTCTTCACGTCCTGCAACGGTACCTTGTGCGAGTACCGAGGACCAGATGGGCCTGACCCGGCTAGGTTGTTCGCCTCGATGTTCCCTGGGCCCCCGCAGTGTCCGGGAATCCATGCGTAGGTAGTGTTTGGTGGCGCAACCTTCAGGATGCCCTGGATCGAGGACCTCCGACGAAAGGGCCTTAATAACACTGTGGGAGTCCGACAGGATCAGGATTGGGCGATCCGCAGGAACCGTGACGGCATGAAGAATAGCCAGAGAACACCGAACATTGTTTTGGCAGACTTCTACTCGTTGAGGAAATGTCACCAGCGATTGCCATTCCGACTCCAGCTCTCTATCTTGACCCGTCCGTGTAACGAGGCATGTAGTTTGGGTACAATCCGGTCAGCTCTGCTACCGATCTCCTAAGGGCTACGGAATTGTCCCCGGCTCTGAACTTCTCCTTTATCCGGCTGTCGATGTTTGGTGCGGGAGATTGTCAACTCTTATCTCCGTACCAGTGAATCTTGGCCACTGGGGGGCAAATTTAAGTGAAAATTTACCAAATGGATCGCAGCCTATATGTGCGGGGGTTGACAGATGTAGTATACTCCTAGTCTCACCATCGAATGGTATTTGCTCTCACTCTTATCTAATGAGGTTAAACAAATAAATTCTGCAAACAACGCTCTTTGAAAACAATTTTATGAATATGTAACTGGAATAAATGCGAGGATTAAAAAGGAGGACATTTTCGGGCAAAAGGAGGATGTAGCAAAATTATTGAAAAAGGAGGACATGTCCTCCTTTAGGATACCATATGGTAACCCTAATGGTAATGTCGCTAAGAAGATATTGGAAATCAATGCTAAAGGTGGCCATTGACCAATTTAATAATTTGAATGAATGGTTAACCAATTTCCCTCAAATAATATAAGGTTAGTCAGTTTTTGCCGGTCAGTCTGCTTGAATGCAATTATCCCTTGGTGTACTCTGAGCACTTTGGGTTGAGATACAGTGGGGGAAATTCGTTTAAACGCAATGTCATTTTTGCGTTTATTTTCAACACAAAAGATCGAGACAAAAAATCAAATATAGTTTGTCATAGCCCATCAGAAGTCTCGTATTTGAGAACACAATTTGATTGGAAGTTCATAATGACTTTTGAAAAAATCCCAAAAAAGGTGATTTTGGGGGGGAAATTCGTTTAAACGCACTTTTAGTTTTATTAATCAAATCGAGTTCACAGTTCAAAAATCAACAATAAACAATAGTTAATACTTCGTTTGCTTTCCGTTTTTCTGAATAGTTTCGAAAATTCTGTTCGGCATTGATTTCACCAGCTTCTGCAGAGTTGTATCAGGTATCAAGCTCCAGGCTTCTCTTACGGCTGACTCAAGTTCACGAACTGTTTTAAACTGCCTTCCGCCTTTGTAAACCTGTCGTGCCAGGATGCCCCACAAGTTCTCGATAGGATTTAGATCCGGACTACGAGCTGGCCAATCCAAAAGACTGATGTCTCGTTCAGAAAACCATTTCAAAGATTGCTTGCTGACATGAATTGCTGCATTATCCTGTTGAAATACGAAATTTTCCGGCATAACGTCTTCAGTAAACGGGATCAAAACATCTTCCAGAAGCTCCAAGTACTTTCCCGAATTCATCCTGGTTGAAATGGTGGCAATAGGGGTCTTTCCATGGATCGAAAAAGCGGCCCAACACATTAGAGTACCACCTCCAAAGTTCCTGCTCAACTTAACCTGCGGAGATTTCCTCAAATCGTGCCAATAATATGCGGTGCAGTCTGGGCCGTCCAAATTGAATTTCTTCTCGTCAGAAAAAATAACATTGTCCCATTCCGTAGTCCAAGACATGTATTTTTTAGCGAAATTCAATCTGGCGCTAATGTGGGCCGGTTGAAGATTGGGTTTTTTTGCTTTTTTGGTGTACTTTAAGTGGCCACTTCCATGTAGAATCTGCCGTACACGCCTCTTAGAAATGGAAAGCCCCATTTCTTGCTTGATTTGCGCAGCAGAGAAGTTTCCAGAGTCTCCCATTTGTATGATTTGGTTTCGGACACGGTTGGTGATCTTCGAATTTCCCTTTGTTTTCTTTTTTACGCCATACGTCTTGCCTTTTTTCAGCAGGTTCCTGATTGCTGCTTCCGATCTGTGGATCACACGTGCAATTTTGCGATTGCTCTCACCGCGACTTTTGAGTTCTCGAACCAGTATTTGCTCCGACTGGCTTAAATACTTTCCTTTACCCATTTTGCCGAAAACAAGCAACAACTACCGCGCAACGCAAATTTAAACTCGTGTTAATGGCGAACGAGGGCTATACAGTGTAAATATGACAGATGCGCAAGATAACAGGAGCATAGGTACGCTCAATGCGGCTTTACGTTAGTGTGCGTTTAAACGAATTTCCCCTCTAAAATCACCTTTATTGGATTTTTTCAGAGACCACAATGAACTTCCGTTCAAATTGTGTTCTCAAATACGAGACTTCTGATGGGCTATGACAAACTATATTTGATTTTTTGTCTCGATCTTTTGTGTTGAAAATAAACGCAAAAATGACATTGCGTTTAAACGAATTTCCCCCACTGTACACAGCAAAAAAAGCAAGGTCTTGCTGACTCATAACAGAGTCGAAAGAGTCGTGACTAAATTAGAATACAAACGATTATTCTAAGTTCCCTTCATAGTTACAACCAATGTAATCTGCTTTAAAATGCTGCACAAAATATGGCATTTTGATTTCCACATTCAGATAGATCATGAAATACGTTCACTTTTGTTAAATAGAATTGAAACGACCTCCAAAAATCGTCACCATGTAGTGGTTTCCCTAACACGGTCGCCGTGTATCTCTCAATTATTTCTTAAATTGAGGGATACAAGTGTCATTTTAGATTTAGAATGGGTATGTCGATCGTGGAGACAAACTACCCTAGCACAGACATCAAACCTCAAGTGGTAATTCAAGATTTTCAAAATATTATTTTAAATTTCCTTTAAAAAAACACCAATCAAAACAAAACATGGCTTGAGTATAAAGTGGTGGAAACAAGGCCATCGTAATTTTTCCAATATTAATCTCGTGCAGCTCTCCGAAAAGTTAATAATACCGAAATGTAAACGTTACATATATAAAGTAAATCGTTACTTAAGCTGGTTTAATAGAATATGTGTGAATGATATGTACCGTGGACCTCTAGCTAATCTGAACGGCACTTCATGTATATTAACGGGGTTCATTTTTAATTTGTACTTCACGTCGAGGCTAGTGCAGTACGTATAAAACTGGTCGATAATCTGGTTCTCTTCTACACATATTCGGAACATCTCCCGGAAACTTTAAATGTTGATAAGAAATCCTACAAATCCCGTTTTATTCCGGGAATGTAGAACAGGTGCACCGTTGCTAAGCTCTTGGTAAACTCCTCAACATACTCAAATACCCTTCGGTACAGGTCGAACTTTTCGCTCGATATATGTAGGCCTTTTGAAACTTTCTGCATTGATATTCTTGCTGTTCAAATATCGAACAGGTCGTCTCCAGAACTCTACAGAAGCTTCACATTCTTTAAACGAACTATCCGATTCATTGAGGCCACTTATAGCTGACGCTCTGGTTAATGATCTGCACTGCAAGCGGAAATTTCATTTTTGAATCCTGAAAGTTCAGGTTATTTGTCTGTTAGAAAGACGGTTTCCGGTCCGGTTTGAAAATCGTTTATAAAATGTCATCATCAGTGACCGCTAAACTTCCGAGCTGAACAGATGTATTTTTGCTACAGTTCTGTGGAAGTCGAACACAAGCTAATTACCAGTGCCAACTGTGTTTTTTTCTCTTTCTGCGCATCGCTGAGCCGTTACGTGTCGCTGCGCGTCCAAACGGCTTCGCGATGGGCCGTCGAGGAAACACCTTTCGCATAGATTTTGTGAACGTGCCGAAGAAACTGGACAATGCCAAAGTTCACAAATTCTGTGCGACCATATTGGGTCTGAAGCAAGGTGAAGTGCTACGGATTCAGAACAGCAGAACCCTCGGAGTTTCTTTC